AAAAGTCCAGTGTCTGTGTTCTTTTGCCCATCTTAATCTTTTCTTTTTATTGGCCAGTCTGAGATATGGCTTTTTCTTTGCAACTCTGCCTAGGTCAGCATCCCGGAGTCGCCTCTTCACTGTTGACGTTGAGACTGGTGTTTTGCTGGTACTATTTCATGAAGCTGCCATTGAGGACCTGTGAGGCGTCTGTTTCTCAAACTAGACTCTAATGTATTTGTCCTCTTGCTCAGTTGTGCACCGGGGCCTCCCACTCCTCTTTCTATTCTGGTTAGAGCCAGTTTGCGCTGTTCTGTGAAGGGAGAAGTATACAGCGTTGTACGAGATCTTCAGTTTCTTGGCAATTTCTCGCATGGAATAGCCTTCATTTCTCAGAACAAGAATAGTTATTCTGAAACAACGAGTTTCAGAAGAAAGTTATTTGTTTCTGGACATTTTAAGCCTGTCATCGAACCCACAATTGCTGATGCTCCAGATACTCAACTAGTTTCAAGAAGGCCAGTTTTATTGCTTCTTTAATCAGCACAACAGTTTTCAGCTGTGCTAACATAATTGCAAAAGGGTTTTCTAATGATCAATTAGCCTTTTAAAATGATAAACTTGGATTACCAAACACAACGTGCCATTGGAACACAGGACTGATGGTTGCTGATAATGGGCCTCTGTACGCCTATGTAGATATTCCATTAAACAATCAGCCGTTTCCAGCTACAATAGCCATTTACAACATTAACAATGACTACACTGTATTTCTGATCAATTTGATGTTATTTTAATGGACAAAAAAATGCTTTTCTTTCGAAAACAAGGACATTTCTAAGTGACCCCAAACTTTTGAACAGTAGTGTATATACGGATGATATCTCCTCTGAAGGTTTATATACCTGTCCTGGTGATAAAACCACATCTGTGCAGCAGACAAAGGCTGAGACTACATAGCCAATCCACAAGGCTGCAACGCTATCTGATGCATTACACACATATTCACATCAATGCAAACACAGATGCCAAAATAATAATTCTGAAGGGGGAAATGTATAGTCCACATGAAGCCTTAAGTAAACACTAAACATGTACTTGCCTTACGACATGTCAGAAGGCTATGGTAGTGTGACCTCAATCTGACTGCTCACTGAAACAGGAATTCTCTCTTCAGTATAAAGACAGAACAGGCCAGAGGTTAGTTAAACCCCTAACAGACACACTCATTCAGGCCGCTGCTGTACTGAAGATCACAATTACTCTGCAATTAATACTGGTGGCACTGTCAGAGTAAGAGTTAAATGCAAAATTATACACTACTCTCCGGTAGCCTTAGCCAAGTCGTGGCCGCACTCGAATTTTGAACAATGGCAATGTTAATGCTGCAGAATATTTTCCACCAGCAACATTCAGAACACAATAATGCTGCACTGTGGATATATGCTCCTCCCAGACTGGCCCAAGACAACCCCCATCCCTCCCTCCGTCATTCCCCTCCTTCACGCCTGGACTGCATAATGAAGTGAAACACAAACCATCACCAACAATCTGCATCACATTAGAAGGCCTTGATTCAATCTAAATCATGCTGCACTAAGGGTTAGGGTTCTACAGGAAAAGACTACACTAAGGAAATTCACAAAGAGTTCATAAAATATACAGCACGCTATTTGATGACCATGGGGAAAGGTTGGGTGGTGTGGAGCCAAGAGGTCAAGGCTCATTTAAAAAGGTCCTGTTTGCCCTTAATGTTGAAAGATAATCATCCTAAATGTCTCCATTTCATTGAAGAGGTGGTCAAATTTGATGTAGTAAATTCTTGCCAGTATGTGGACAAACTGGGTAGGCCTATATCAGATAAATGCATAAAAAAACATTCTCTAAAATGGCACATTGTACAAAATATAATTCCACTGGCACTGAGAGTACTTTTCTTACAGAAAATCTCCTGCAAATCCCTTTTACTGGCTTGGTGTGGCAATGTAATGAAGAGGGCTATATATACTCTTAATACAAAGAGAATATTTCCAAATAAAATAGTTTCCCTGGCACCTTATGACAAGGAAATGATCACCGTCCAACTAAAAGCCAGCCTCCTTCATCACCATCTTCTGCTCCCATTATTTTAAAGAGATAGAAACAGTATGGTATGATTTCCTGGCTTGTTCTTTTACTGTGGAATTGTATTTTATACCTATCCTGTGAAGCCTAGAGACTATGATAATGTCCTGTACTGCCAACAGGGTAGCAGCAGCAGGGCACTGAGAATGGCGCAGCTCTGTCCTCTGCAGACAATTCGATTTATATTCACACTACCTCTGCTTGCTCACTCTACCCTCACAATTACAATTGCAATGTACACATATATTATACCCGCCCACCTAGATATTATTCTTTATAGCATATACATTATGTGCATGCAGCTGCAAGCCGAGACACATCGGCTAGCCGAGAGTCTCAGTGGGATTAATTGTAATTTGTTATTAAGGATCATCATTTGTTTTTAAGACAGGCATGCTGACGTATGTAGGAAACTGGAGTTGCAGCGGACCCAAAATGGATCCTGATGTGGGTGAACCTGCAGCATTATGCAGGTATCGTCTAGGTATCATTTATTTATAATCCTGAAACCCTTGCTTTACCCATAAATGTATATTATACAAAACACACTGACATCGGCTTAAACATTTTAAAGGCTTTCACAACATGCTATTTTTATGTTTATTGAATCCATGTCCAGAAAATAAATACAGATTCAAGATATTGTGGTAATCATATTTACAATATAGGCCTAGATTAATTATATGGGACAGTAACTGTACTCATTTGTCAAACTGCACACACATCTTGACAAATTGTGATACATTAGGAACATTTATATTGTTGTGTGCAAGGCAAAATAATGAATAAATAAATAGACAAGGTACATAGAAAAGATTTGGCAATTTTCTGTGAAAGATAAGCTTAATCATCATAACCTTTCTTAACATCTATAGGCTAAACATCTTATTTTGAAACCTTTACATTAAACCCGTTTGAAAGAGATGGACAGACATGATTAAAATGACTTAATGTGACACCTACAGGTTTATTTAGAGGAAATGTGATTAAATCTGTTCTCCTTTTTCAAACATATAGGTGTTATCAAATAGCCGTGTACTGTGTAGGCCTATTATGAGATATTGACTTCTGTATCCTAAATAATGTCCCTACAGTTAAATAATTAATCGAACAAAAGCCTAACAGCCAAAGAGTAGGCCATTGTATCCAGTTTCACATATTTCAATAACACTTTGATAAAAATACCTTATATTTGTATTTTTACAATAACTATTTTCAGCATCAATCATTTCACCTGTGCTATAATAAACCTTAGATATTAGGTATCCATATATAGAAGAAAAAAACGTTTAAAAAATATATGCTGATGTAATTTGTTACCTGAGTATTTGAATTAAAAAGGTTTCTACAAATTCCACTATGAATAACAATACATTTTAGACATCAGCATATCTTCCCACTACCTGTGTGTGTGTGTGATTTTATTATTTCAAAATGGATTTTTAGGCTATAGATAACCTGTGACACATGGCACTGGGGTGCACAATAGATAGGCTATGTTATATCCAATGCAAACAATGGAACCTGCCATAAATACAGTTGGCCTTCTGTAAACCGTATTATATATACATAACATAAGAGACAGTGACAAACGAATCTACCTACTGAAAAAAATGGTCAGCTGACAACATTAGAAACAAAATATGTTAGACCCTGTATCAACTTTTGGTTCCACAGTCAGTTATGTCCAATGACCCAAATAAAAGCATACACCTGTGCACTGTAAGGTAGGCCTATATAATTGGGCTAAGTATGCGGTTTATTTAAGTAAGGTTTTATTGACGAAATTGGTGTTTTTTATATCAGGGATCAACTCCAGATTCACATTTTTATTAATTGGTCACTGCTTACCTTTTTGTGTCTATCTTTGAAAGGCAATGCCGGCCATTGCATCTCCTGTAAAAAGTCTTGCCAATGTTTCTGGTCCTGATCAGATGAGACGAAGACGATTTCCAATTTGTCTTTATGTTCAGATGATTTTTTGAACTTGTTATAAAACTCACACAGACTGGCGTTGAACTGCTTACAGGGGCCGTTTAAACTGCAGCCGAAGAAGAGCCCGACCAGGGACAGCTTGCTACCCAGCGCCTGTACATCCACCTCTGCTTTCTCGCTGTTGACGAGCCGCTCCCCGAGTAGATTTACCAGAAACTCCGACATGCTGCTCGAGTCCTTGAAATAGACCCTAATATATTCCGTTCTCTTACCAAGACTGCAGAAAATGAAAACTGAATGCTCAGTGAAAACCAACACGCCCTCGTCCTCCAATTTAGCTTCCTTGGAGAGAGAGCCCCAATTCGTGGTATAGCCTATGCTCAAATGTGTGCACAACTACAGATATCCTCCACTCAGCTCAGTCGCTCCAATGCGTGGTGTGCAGGAATGCGCTCCAGATATACTCATACAACAGTGGTTGCACTATTCACGTCAAAGCAAGCAACTCTTTCATGACACCTAGTTATAAAATGGCGATATTGCATCTCTATAATATTCTTGACGTATGTATGTTAAAAAAAATCTGACCACCTTTGTTTCGTCTGGTATTGTATAGCATTACTTGATCAAGTTCACTATTCAAAGACTGATTGTTGTTAGCATTGAGCATGTTTAGGCCTACATGGTACACACATTACATGTTTTGGCCTATGTGTACATTAAACCCGAATAACAGAACTAGGGATAGGTTACTTTTTTCTTCTTCATGAGCCTATCATGGAGCGTAATTTTTACAGACAACATAGCCTATTATTAAATGTGCCAATTATATTATCTAATATTATAATTTCACATAAAAAATAATAGTTTGAAATATAAATAATATCATTATTGAAAATAAAAAACCTGAACCTAAATGTTTATAATAAGACCTAATGTATTTAGACAGGCTGGGGGAGCCACCTAGCGTCTCACAAAATGAACTGCACTATAGACAAACTATTTTACACATATTTATTTTGTCATCCAACCATCATTTATTTCACTTGACTAAGTTCTACACAACAACACGCCAATCACAGTATAACAGGTAATGTTTCAGTTGATATCTTCACCCTATAGATTTCTGCCATAAGTAAGGAATAAGAATCATCAATTGATGAGATTCAATTCATTTGACACAATTCGTCTGGCACATCACATTCTAGGAGTAGGCTGCCTACCACTTAGGGCAATCTAAGATATTTGTCAAAAGTGGGCTATGTTATGATAACTCTTCTATTTAATTTACTACATTAAACATCAAATTATAAAATCAGTCAGCTAGCTCTACCAAGGCCTCTGGTTATGTTATAGTTGTTTTTTATTTCCATATAAGAATAGCAACACATTCACTGATTAACACTGCCTCGCAGTGAGAGGGAGAGGAGAGTGTATTTGAATTCCAAAGAAACAATCATTCCTATTCAATCTAGTGTAGTCAAAAAGTGCCTGGGCTGGGGCTGGATCTCAGGAAAGAGACAGGACAGTGGGAAATGGAAGATGACCAAGTGTAGGGCGAGTGTAGTCCTCTGTGGTCCTCTAGTCCTCGGTGAACATCATCCTCACCAGGTCAGCTTTGAAGCACTCCTCTTCAACCAGCTTCTGAGGCTGAATTAGATGATGGAGGAAAAGAAACAGAACTTAGCATGTTTTGGTAAGACTTTCCCTGAAGGTATATTTTATCTAGAATGGCCCAGCGTCGTCCAGGGTATGGGAGGGAATGGCCGGCAGGGATGTAGCTCAGTTGGTAGAGCATGGTGTTTGCAACGCCAGGGTTGTGGGTTCGATTCCCACGGGGGGCCAGTATGATTTTTTTATTTTTTATAATAATGTATGCACTAACTGTAAGTCGCTCTGGATAAGAGCGTCTGCTAAATGACGTAAATGTAAATGTAATAACAACCTCACCAATGTGTTATAACAGTTTTTTTTCAAATTACAGATTGACTATCTATAAAATAATAATCAACGCTTTTAGGAGCCTTTGAGTGTTGCCACAAAATCCAAAGAAAAAGCCACACTTTTTTCTCCTTTGAAAGGCAATTTGCAAATCGATCACTATACTAGAAATTATTTTATTTGTGACCTTGCCATGCACTTATGCTCACCGTGCCATATCGGATCAGAGTAGGAACTCCACTGAGCTTCAGAGTCTTCTTGAACTTATTATTGGGATCCTTCCAACTGGTCAAAGATGAAAAGGTAAATTAAGCAAAATACAAAAGTCAGACATAGTTAAAATGTATAATTTTGTGCATTGTACACTGAACAAAAATATAAATGCAACATGCAACAATTTCAAAGATTTTACTGAGTTACAGTTCATATAAGGAAATCAGTCAATTGAAATAAATTAATTAGGCCCTAATCTATGGATTTCACATGACTGGGAATACAGATATGCATCTGTTGGTCACAGATACTTTTAAAAAAGGTAGGGCGTGGATCAGAAAACCAGTCAGTATCTGGTGTGACCACCATTTGCCTCATGCTGCACAACATCTCCTTCGCATAGAGTTGATCAGGCTGTTGATTGTGGCCTGTGGAATGTTGTCCCACTCCTCTTCAATGGCTGTGTGAAGCTGCTGGATTTTGGCAGGAACTGGAACACGGTGTCATACACGTCTATCCAGAGCATCCCAAACATGCTCAATGGATGACACGTCTGGTGAGTATGCAGGCCATGGAAGAACTGGGACATTTTCAGCTTCCAGGAATTGTGTACAGATCCTTGCGACATTGGGCCGTAAATTATTATGCTGAAACATGAGGTGATGGCGGCGGATGAATGGCAGGACAATGGGCCTCAGGATCTCGTCACGGTATCTCTGTGCATTCAAATTGCCATCAATAAAATCCAATTGTGTTCGTTGTCCGTAGCTTATGCCTGCCCACGACATAACCCCACTGCCACCATGGGGTACTCTGTTTAGCAAACCGCTCACCCACACAACGCCATACACGTGGTCTGTGGTTGTGAGGCCAGTTGGACGTACTGCCAAATTCTCTAAAACAACGTTGGAGGTGGCTTATGGTTGAACAGATAGCATAAAATTCTCTGGCAACAGTTCTGGTGGACATTCCTGTCTTTTGTGACAAAACTGCACATTTTAGAGTGGCCTTTTATTGTCCCCAGCACAAGGTGCACCTGTGTAATGATCATGCTGTTTAATCAGTTTCTTGATATGCCACACCTGTCAGGTGGATGGATTATCTTGGCAAATGAGAAATGCTCACTAACATGGATGTAAACACATTTGTGCACAAAATTTGAGAGAAATAAGCTTTTTGTGCGTATGGAAAATGTCTGGGATCTTTGATTTCAGCTCATGAAACATGTTGCGTTCATATTTTTGTTCAGTGTATTTTGCTCAATTCAAATATGCTGTCCGAGAGAGCCAAAAATTAATGATGTTACAACTTGCACAATTTATCTAAGCTTTTCAAAACTACTAGCTGCATTTGAGGGTAAGAAAAATACTTATTTTCTATTGCCTGTGGATTGCACAGCACTATCATTCTGCTTTCATCACCAGTGAATATAAAGAAAAAGTCGAGAACATACTATGGCCTCTCTCCAACCTGACAGTAGATGAAGACAGAGCCCTCGGGAAGGTGGGACATCTCTCCTCTAACAACTGGCTCAGCTGGAGGGGAAAGAGGAGAACAAAGCTGGCAAATCTGTGTGGCTTTGATTTATGCACGCAATAAATCACACAACAGCTACAACTTCCTAAAATAATACAGAAAATAGAGTATAAGACGAGCATCCCCAGTAAACACATTACAGAGAGAATAGTCGGCTTGGCTACAATGAATTGCCGACCATAACGCAGCAGATACTGACGCATTATGACAGATAGCTGGAATAGAAAGCCAACTGCTATATGTGTCAAATACAAATTATTACAGCCATAAAATAATAACTATATTACCTTTCACACAATCTGGACACCAACTCATCCCTTGAGCGTCTTTATCACCAGAGAAATATGCGAATATGTCCTTTCCTTTCCTCTCAGACACTGCTTTGCAGAATTCATCATAACCATGGACCTTTACTTCTTCGTAATGAGACATGATGAAATAGAATAAGTAGCAGTATTATAAATTCTCGTACGCAACGCAAGCAGGTATGGAGCGTTTCATGCAAGAATACATATGAGTTGAACCCTTTGCACTATGATCGCCTCTAAATACTACGAGCAGAGAGGAAGAAGTAAGGAGAGAGGCCCAACTCGGCGGAAAATCTGTCTCTGTCCATAAGGTGGCGTTTTTTAGTTTTTTCGCCGACCAAGCAAGGAGTTTTTGTATGGAGGTCAATGAGTGTCGAATTTGGTCAACAAAAAAATGAATGTCTTATTTGCTACATGATGTTTATTTGATTGAATTTCGTAATGCTTAAGTTGTTACGACTGTACTGATATAAGTAGGACACATGACATCCTCTCAACTTGGATTAAAAACACTTTGTATTGGAGTAATCGCGAGATGCCTATGCATATTCATGATATGAGGCTAGTAGCATAGCATCTCTCCATTGAACACAGGCGGTTGACGTCAACAACCCTCATCGAATATTCAAAAAATAATTAAAAAATAATGTGATATCCACCAATCCAAAGAAAGGATAGACGGGAGCTAGACAGCCCGCCGTGCTGCTTTGTGGACAACGACTCCCATTGTTAGGGCAGAGAGACAAGTATCTTGTCAGTATATCCATAATCTTTGCTATGAGTACAGAAAACGCATGACAACGCTTCCTCTTCCTGTCTATGAAAAATAAAAGTGATAGGACAACTTCATCCTATTCGTGTAATGCTTTTGATGACTATTTCATCGAAACAAACAGAACCTTATAGACACAAATATATAGAAAAATTAACATTTTATAATATTAGTCCAATTTTAGTCAAATTCTACAGTCAAATAAGTATTTAAAATGTCCTACATCTGGTTATGTTTGACGGTTTCTCTTTCCGTAGGTTAGAAATACCCACTTCTTGTTTTTACGGAAGGCCGTGCTTATTATTTGTTGTCATGGCGGCCTTTTAAACAGTTTTAACTGTGATTAGCTTACTAGCTAGTTGTAGAAGTCTATCACGTACAAAAAGTATCATAGGTACATCTTTTCACTTTCTAAGCATAATGTACCATCCGGTTGCATGGCTAGATACGTATTGAATTGATCAAAGCTAACGTTAGCTAGGGTTACAGGCTACAGCTGATTTAGATACACCGGTAGCTTGCTAGGGCCGGGGATTTAGGAACAGCCATGGCTGCAAACCTTCTGGAGTCCCCGATGACCTTAGGACAATCGAAAAGCTGGGTCACATTAGGTCCAAATCGTAGCACTCGGCTTTCTCAGACTCAGGTAAGATAACGTTAGCTAAAGGACATTCATGTAAACCCACATATGGTCAAATGGATTGTGAACTATCTGAGCAATAGACCACAGTTCGTAAGATTGAACCAGGCAGTATCAGACCAGATATGCACAAACACGGTAACGTTAGCCCCACAAGGGACGGGCCTGTCACCTTTCCTGTTTACTCTCTATACTCTCTATATGACTTCACACACAACAATGAACTAAGCCACCTGCAGAAATTATCTGACTCTGTTATAGTAAGTTGTATCATGAAAGGAGACGATGCTCATCACAGGGAATTAACAGAGTCCTGGGAGTTATAGTGGACAATAAACTGAAGGATAATTCCCAGACTATCTACAAAAAAGCCCAATCCAGACTGTACTTTTTAAGGAAGCTAAGTTATTTTAATGTGTGTGACACAATGCTTCTCATGTTTTACAGCAGTGTAGTGGCTAGTGTTATGCCATTGTGTGCTGAAAGGGAAACTTAGTGAAAGATGACATAAACAAACTGGACAAAATCATAAAGAAAGCAAGTGATACAATCAGATGCAGTCGAGTCAATGCAGGACATGTTCATAAAAAGGCTGCAAGCTAAAACACACATGATCATGGACAATGCCACACACCCACCACATAGCACTCTAATGCAACACAGTAGCAGGTTCATCCTGCCCAAACATTCCACAAAGAGGTTCCGAAGGTCATTTTTACCCACAGCCATCATAAATGACTAATTTGTTATTCCTTTTTAATGTGTAGTTGTTGCTGTTTCCCAGGAGGAAAGACAACACAATTTCTTACCTATCTTTTATGGTAATTAACGTGCAGGTGTCTTATTTAAGCAATGAGGCCTGGGGGGGTGTGTATATGGCCAATATACCACAGCTAAGGGCTGTTCTTAGGCTCGACGCAACGTAGTATATTGGCCATATGTCACAAACACCCGAGGTGCCTTATTGCTATTATAAAATGTTTACCAACATAATTAGAGCAGTAAAAATAAATGTGCTGTCAGCCAATCAGCATTCAGGGCCCGATCCACCCAGTTTATAATATGTGTTTTGTCATGTGTTTGTCACTGATACGGGTCCTGTCTTTGTCATTTTATTAATTGATAATGCTGAAGTGATAAAACAATTTCCCAAGTTGGGATTAATAAAGTACTACTGTACTCTCTACTCTCTCGCTCTCTCCTTCTTATACTAGTCATGCTACTAACATGCCATCATGATGGATATTAAAATATAACATTATAACGTTGAGAATGCCAGTTGATGTGGCCAGGTCATAAGTTGGACAGCTGGATGTAACATCAACTCAGCTAGCTAAGTTGGTCGCTATGTCATTGCAACAGCAGGAATGATGCCAGTGCCACTATTGTTCTCTTTCAGTTACTCTTCAATGCAGCCATGCCTGCCAACGCCTATAACCGTGCCACCCAAGTTGGCCCACCTGCACCCATTGTGATTGAGAAGCTGATGCCCTGGGTGGAGAAGCGGGATGACCTGGATAGCACCGGCAGCTCTCTGTGTTTCTCTGCTCTGTCTGAGGAGCGTCTGCTGGCTGCAGTCAGGCTGGCCAAGAGAGATCTGAGGAAGAGACGACAGGAGTCATTGAACAGCTCCCCCATCAGACCACAGCCAGAGGAGACCACACCCATCAAGAGCAATGTGGAGCAGGTAAATAAGAGCCAGCGAAAGCAGGCTCATCAATATACTCCCCTTTCACTTGTACTGTTTATATCCATCTTATTCTGCTCCAAGAACGATGAATCAATGATCAACCTTTATAATTTTTCAATTGCAAGCAGAAGAGGGTTGTTCCTAAGGGGAGGTCAAAAACGGCCGGCCCCAAAGAAGAAGTGACTCGGTCTGGAGCCGAGGTGCTTGTATACACCCCCCAGAAGTACATCTCCGTACCCCCTGGGCCTGATCATGGCCTGTCCCCCCCAACCAGAGACCCAGGCCCAAGGCAGACAGCCAGCCAGGAGCCCCAGAGAGCCCTCAGCCAGGAGGTCTGCAGGCTACAGAGAGAGCTGGCCAACTACATCCAGAGAATAGATCAGCTGGCTAACAGAGGTAACTCCACATAAATAAAGTCACCCATGAGTTTACCAGTCAAATCGCCATGGTCAGAGGTTCTAGGCCTGTTCTAGTGATTATATTTCTATGGGGAACATAGCTGGAGTGGCACCTTGTTGGCATACATGCTGCTAATGTTTGAATCTATTTAATATGCTGTTGAATCAAATTACATTTTATTTGTCACATACACGTGTTTAGCAGATGTTATTGCGGGTGTAGCGAAATGCTTGTGCTTCTAGTTCTGACAGTGCAGTAATATCTAACGAGTAATATCTAACAATTTCGCAACATATACCCAATACACACAAATCTAAGTAAGGAATGGAATTAAGAATATATACATATATGGATGAGCAATGACAGAGTGGCATGGACTAAGATACAGTAGAATATTATAGAATACAGTATATACGGTACATATGAGATGAGTAATGCAAGATATGTAAACAATATTAAAGTGACTAGTGTTCCATTTCTTAAAGCGGCCAGTGATTTCTAGTCTACAGTGGGGAAAAAAAGTATTTAGTCAGCCACCAATTGTGCAAGTTCTCCCACTTAAAAAGATGAGAGAGGCCTGTAATTTTCATCATAGCTACACGTCAACTATGAAAGACAAATTGAGGAAAAAAAATCCAGAAAATCACATTGTAGGATTTTTAATGAATTTATTTGCAAATTATGGTGGAAAATAAGTATTTGGTCACCTACAAACAAGCAAGATTTCTGGCTCTCACAGACCTGTAACTTCTTCTTTAAGAGGCTCCTCTGTCCTCCACTCGTTACCTGTATTAATGGCACCTGTTTGAACTTGTTATCAGTATAAAAGACACCTGTCCACAACCTCAAACAGTCACACTCCAAACTCCATTATGGCCAAGACCAAAGAGCTGTCAAAGGACACCAGAAACAAAATTGTAGACCTGCACCAGGCTGGGAAGACTGAATCTGCAATAGGTAAGCAGCTTGGTTTGAAGAAATCAACTGTGGGAGCAATTATTAGGAAATGGAAGACATACAAGACCACTGATAATCTCCCTCGATCTGGGGCTCCACGCAAGATCTCACCCCGTGGGGTCAAAATGATCACAAGAACGGTGAGCAAAAATCCCAGAACCACATGGGGGGACCTAGTGAATGACCTGCAGAGAGCTGGGACCAAAGTAACAAAGCCTACCATCAGTAACACACTACGCCGCCAGGGACTCAAATCTTGCAGTGCCAGGCGTGTCCCCCTGCTTAAACCAGTACATGTCCAGGCCCGTCTGAAGTTTGCTAGAGTGCATTTGGATGATCCAGAAGAGGATTGGGAGAATGTCATATGGTCAGATGAAACCAAAATATAACTTTTTGGTAAAAACTCAACTCGTCGTGTTTGGAGGACAAAGAATGCTGAGAACACCATACCTACTGTGAAGCATGGGGGTGGAAACATCATGCTTTGGGGCTGTTTTTCTGCAAAGGGACCAGGACGACTGATCCGTGTAAAGGAAAGAATGAATGGGGCCATGTATCGTGAGATTTTGAGTGAAAACCTCCATCCATCAGCAAGGGCATTGAAGATGAAACGTGGCTGGGTCTTTCAGCATGACAATGATCCCAAACACACCGCCCGGGCAACGAAGGAGTGGCTTCGTAAGAAGCATTTCAAGGTCCTGGAGTGGCCTAGCCAGTCTCCAGATCTCAACCCAATAGAAAATCTTTGGAGGGAGTTGAAAGTCCGTGTTGCCCAGCGACAGCCCCAAAACATCACTGCTCTAGAGGAGATCTGCATGGAGGAATGGGCCAAAATACCAGCAACAGTGTGTGAAAACCTTGTGAAGACTTACAGAAAACGTTTGACCTGTGTCATTGCCAACAAAGGGTATATAACAAAGTATTGAGAAACTTTTGTTATTGACCAAATACTTATTTTCCACCATAATTTGCAAATAAATTCATTAAAACAATGTGGTTTTCTGGATTTTTTTCCCTCATTTTGTCTGTCATAGTTGACGTGATGATGAAAATTACAGGCCTCTCATCTTTTTAAGTGGGAGAACTTGCACAATTGGTGGCTGACTAAATACTTTTTTCCCCCACTGTATGTCTATAGGCAGCAGCCTCTAATGTGCTAGTGATGGCTATTTAACAGTCTGATGGCCTTGAGATAGAAGCTGTTTTTCAGTCTCTCAGTCCCAGCTTTGATGCACCTGTACTGACCTCGCCTTCTGGATGTTAGTGGGGTAAACAGGCAGTGGCTCGGGTGGTTGATGTCCTTGATGATATTTTTGGCCTACCTGTGACATCGGGTGCTGTAGGTGTCCTGGAGGGCGGGTAGTTTGCCCCCGGTAATGGATTGGGCAGACCGCACCACCCTCTGGAGAGCCCTGCGGTTGCGGGCGGTGCAGTTGCCGTACCAGGCGGTGATATAGCCCGACAGGATGCTCTCAATTGTGCATCTGTAAAAGTTTGTGAGGGTTTTAGGTGCGGGTTTGTGAGGGTTTTAAGTACCAAATATTTTGAATGGTATTTAGCGTATGGGACACTGCATGCAGTTTAGAGACCCATGGTCATGTGTATTGTGCTGTGCATTCTAGGGCGAATGGTTGCAGAGCCCTTGGAGCCTGATGAGCAGCGCAGGGTGGATGTCCGCAGACAGGAACAGGCAGCCCGCTCTGCACGCATCATCTATGTGCTGCAACAACAGGTGAAAGAAATCCAAGAGGATTTGGACAAACTACGCTCACAGAAGATTCAGCACACAAAGAAAGTAAGTCTCACTTAATAACCAATGCTGTCGTACTCTGAGGTTCATGATGAGGACAATGACAAAGACTAACATCTATCTCCCTCGCTCTTTGTTTGTCAGTCCAGAGCGATTGACAGGTTGGCTGCTGCCCACAGAGGGGCGGTTAGGGCCATGCAGGTGTTCACTAATCAGCTGTCTGACACGTCTGAGGGGAGGTTGCCCTCCCATTATAAAGAGCTGGGCCAGCTGATCCGCCAGCTTTCTCTGTGCTCGGCCAAAGTGGAGGTGGGCCAGGGATCAGCCATCCCAGAGACTGCCCTGGACATCCTGCAGAAACTAGAGGTCAGTCAGAGGCTGAGTCCCAAATAGCACCTTATTCTCTTTATAGTGCAGTACTTTTGACCAGGGGCAGGGGCCATAGGTCTCTGGTCCAAAGTAATGCACTATATAGGAAATTGAAAGCCATTTGCGATGCATCCATAGATTTAATCCATCACCTACAGGTCACTCTCACCTTATTAAACAGAAGATGGGCACCAGAACATTTGGTCATTTTTTATAAGTAATCAAACTTTGTAAATCTATATTAGGTTATACAAGCAATACCCCATTTAAAAACCTAAGCTATTAAATCTAAAGAAACTGGAAATAAATGTGCTGGAGAGCCACAAAACCATAGGTAGAGCTGATGTGTTATACAGTACATTTAATTTAGATTTTATTTGGCTTCTTTCATTTGAATGTATTTGATTTTCCTGTCTCTCTCTGTGTCTCTCAGACCCTGGATACTGCTCTCAGCAAGCAGGAGAGTCCAGCACAGAGGAGGCAGGCCCGAGCACGCAGCTTCTCCCCTGCACGCCACCGCAGGTCTCCACATCGCAGCACGTCTCCTCCCCGTCCCCGTGCACCCAGGGGCCCTGCCACCAGGGGTATCAGAGGACATCGTAGAGCAGCAGGCCCCAAGAAGTCCTTCCCTGGTGAGCAACGAGCAGGTGTTCTCATTCTGTGACTCAGCATTCAGAGACACTCATTATCACAGTCAGCTGTGCTGCTGAAGCTATTTGATTAGCATTTTAATAAGGATAGCCTAATTATCTTTTTTTTTATTGGCTCATTATTCCATATCCTCATAACATCAAAAACGAATGTAAATGAATTTCATACATCATAAAACCGGGAACAACCAACACAGCAAATGCGTCAGACAAATCAGTATCCCCCTCCTACGGTTGAAACCACACGCACACTGACACAGCTGTTGATAAAATATCTGATCCAAAAATAGAACATTTGTGGTGGGCGTAACATTTCCTGAAACTGCATTTTTTTATTTGAGCATCTCATGTCTTTGTTATTTACCCTGTTCTTTCATTGTGAACGAGGGAGCAGATCCTTACGGCTCCCACGGCTCAGGAAATCACCTGAAGGCTTAAGTGCTGTGTGTGTTTGGGCCTCCCACCGAGCCTGAATCACGGCACCAGGGTGGAGATTAATGAGAGGCTGGCTAGCTGCAAAGAGGGGAAAGAGGGCCGGGGTCCGGTTCTCTGGCCATGGGTCTCCTGCAGGCAGCTCATTGTGTGGGTGGCTAGCACCTACTGTGTACAGTCTCCCTGTGGGAGAGATGGTCCAGCCACCACACACCACGAGAGGGTTTGAACTGCATGTCACGCTCAGGTCTCCTTGGCAACTAATAACAGTTCCCAATGTCAATGAACAAGCCCCCAACCTTCTCCACACTGCCAAACAAGCAGCAGGCAGGTGTCTGTTTGTGTGCTAGTTGGCCAGATAAGTGTGTAGTCTCTCAAAGGAGCATGCAGGTGTTATCCCTAAGGGCCATACAGGCTTTACTCGTGTTTGATTAGTCATGCCAAGCACTGTAACACTTATCTGTAAGGGCCTATAGAAATTATTGAGCACATAGCCTAGCTGTTCAAGTATTTCAAAACATTTAATTTTTTGTTTGTTATCATGAGCCAATGTTGTGATGTTAGCAGATAGGAGAGCGGTCCATCAGCATCAGCAGCCCCCCAGAGCCACAGAGCCTCCTCCACAGCTGGATCGCAGCCAGGTGCTCAGGGCTGGCCTGGAGAGCCTGGTCCATCTCAGAGAACTCAGGGAAGGAGGGGGACAGGTCCCCAACAGTCAAGGAGGAGCACTGCACCCAGATAGGACAAAGGTCAGTGAGTTTAATACTTACATTTTCGACGCAATTAAATGTATTTTAATATGTCCATTAATAACTGTCTAGCCTGAACTATTTTCACTACAATTGTGTCTCTTAAATATTATCTTTGTCCAGAAGCAGGGAGCCCATGTGAGGGATGCAGGTTTCCAGCAGCCCACAGTGGCTTCCAGGCTGAGAGTGTGTCAGCACCCACAGAAGGAGGCCTCTGTGCCCTGGATACCAACGTCACCTCACTCTCCTCCTAAACAACAACAGCGGTGAGCTCAGAAGAGAGCACTCTCTCTTGTCCTCCGTCTCTCTTTTGTAACTTACTCTTGCTGCGTACTCTCTCTCCCTCGCTTACATTCTCGCTCTCTTTTAATTGTAATTTTTTCTAATCCACTTCCACTTGTGTTACGTGTCCAGCTCCCCTCAGAAGAGGCCAGAGCCTCGATGTCTGTTCTCCCCTCTGAAGCCCTCCTCAGGCCCCTCAGAGCAGCAGCTGAGTGGTGTGGTGACAGCAGAGCAGGACCAGGGTCTGACCTCTGATAGACAGAGACAAGTCCACAACGAAGCCCTCAGGTCAGTGATAATAACAATAATACATTTGTGTTTCATTTAACACAGAAAACATAAACCATTGGACATGGCAAACAACCTTGTGTCTTATTAGCATCATAGCACCTTATTAGTCTCACTTATTTGAGGTTTTAGTTGATGTATAATACACTACATGACCAAAGGTATGTGGACACCTGCTCGTCCAATGTCTCATTCCAAAATCATGGGCATTAATATAGAGTTGGTCCCCCCTTTGCTGCTATAACAGCCTCCACTCTTCTGGGAAGGCTTTCCACTAGATGTTGGAACATTGCTGCGGGGACTTTCTTCCATTCAGCCACGAGCATTAGTGATGTTGGGCAATTAGGCCTGGCTCGCAGTCAGCTTTCCAATTCATCCCAAAGGTGTTTGATGGGGTTGAGGTCAGGGCTCTGTGCAGGCCAGTCAAGTTCTTCCACACCGATCTCGACAAACCATTTCTGTATGGACCTCACTTTGTGCACATGGGCATTGTCATGCTGAAACAGGAAAGGGCCTTCCCCAAACTGTTGCCACAAAGTTGGAAGCACAGAATTGTCTAGAATGTCATTGTATGCTGTAGCATTAAGATTTCCCTTCATGAAAAACAGCCCCAGACCATCATTCCTTCTCCTCCAAACTTTACAGTTGGCACTATGCATTTGGGCAGGTAGATGCCAGGAGAACGCTGCCAAACCCAGATTAGTCCGTCGGACTGCCAGATGGTGAAGCGTGATTCATCACTCCAGAGAACGCGTTTCCACTGCTCCAGAGTCCAATGGCAGCGAGCTTTACAACACTCCAGACGACGCTTGGCATTGCGCATGGTGATCTTAGGCTTGTGTGCGGTTGCTCGGCCATGGAAACCCATTTCATTAAGCTCCTGGCGAACAGTTATTGTGCTGACGTTGCTTCCAGAGGCAGTTTGGAACTCGGTAGTGAGTGTTGCATCCGAGGACCTGCTAGTTTTACGCGCTACGCACTTCAGCACTCGGCGGTCCCGTTCTGTGAGCTTGTGTGGCCTACCACTTCGCGTTGTTGCTCCTAGACGTTTCCACTTCACAATAACAGCACTTACAGTTGACCGGGGCAGCTCTAGCAGGGCAGACATATGACGAACTGACTATGATGGTGCCACGTTGAAAGTCACTGAGCTCTTCAGTAAGGCCATTCTACTGCCAATGATTGTCTATGGAGATTGCATGGCTGTGTGCTCGATTTTATACACCTGTCAGCAACAGGTGTGGCTGAAGTGGCCGAATCCACTAATTGTATACATAGTGTTTATGTGTTATAGCTGTGTGGACTGGCAGAATGAATTAACCAAGGGAAACTGCCCAGGGAACAGTTAAATTAATGGATCTGCTCATTTTGCTTAATTAAGTCATTTAAAACCCTGATCTCAGACCCCACTTGCTGAAAGCTGCAAGCAATACTCTGATTCCAATTCAAAGTTAACCTCTTCAATAAATTAAATCTAGGTGCTTGCTTGTTATATTGGGGACATTATTCTTTTTTTAAAGCACCGTTATCGATAGCAGTGCCTGCCTGCCCTAAATTCAAGTGCACAGCAACCCTCTACACTAATCAAAACATAATTAGTGCAATTGAGGTCTATAATTAATCAAATGCCTGCAGCCTGCTTTCGGTAGCTAACATTAGGACTGGTTTATGTGGACCTCTAATTGAAACGGTTCTGTCTGTGTTGTACGGTGTGGTCTATGTGAATGCACAGGCAAGCCTGGCTTGACAGGATGACCATGCAGAGACTGAGGGACCTAAATCAGCTGAGTAAAGATGAAGCAGAACGCATCCAGAGACTCCGGTACACTAGTGTAGTACTATGTCCTCTACACACTCCCTATCATAGCCTAGGAACAAATATACTGTTAGTCTACCCTGTCAAGCTAAAAGTGGGAGGTCCAAATATGTTGTAGTTGTGTCAAGGTACTAGTTCCTCAGTGTGAAACTATGGCCACTTAACATCTCCCTGAACCCCTCCAGGTTTGTGACAAGTATGAGTCTGGAAATCAATGGACAAACACAATATTACCAAGCCAGAGGGGAATAACTGAGTGAAAAGACAGGATTCAAAGCCTCTATATTGTCACACCAGACTTACGCATGTGTGTGTGTCAGGTCTGAGGTGGGCTCTCCAACCCAGTGGGCTGAGAGAGCTGAGCAGGAGGCCCGAGGGAGACTACAGCCTCTGTTGGACCAGGCCCTGGTAAGACAGTCATTTAAACTCTCCTCTCAAAAAATAAAGGGTTGTATGCACACAAAAAATAGACAACCTTTTTAGTTTTGTCTTGCTTTTCAGCAGGCAGGGAAATAAATAACTGAGTGTGTAACTTTGCTGTCACTCAATACCCACATTGTTGTTACATCAGAAAAGCCTGGACCAAGGAAAGCTTTCCCCTCACTCAGGAATTCCACTTACCTCAGAGTAGTGGGAAAATCAATACATCTAATTTGTAATTGAAAAATCCATACAGCTATTTACCACCAGATTTGTGCCACCATAGTGAAATGAATAGGGAATTTACAGCTAAGCCTAGGGTGTACTGCTGCAGCCTTGTGTGTGTGCTGAGTGAAAAGACTGAGTTAGAGTAGGAGAGGTTGGTGTTAGGTGGGAGAAGGTCAATAGTGGTGTGGTACTGAGCTTGCCCTACTTGTTTACTCCAGCAGATGGGAGCTGCTGCCTCTCAGGCCCGGGACAGAAAGGCCACATCGTCACTGAGGCATCGGCTGTCTGAGCAGGCTGCAGACAGAGTGAGTAGCCCTGTCATATCGTAATGATACTGACCTATATTACACAGTGTTTATATATATATATATATATATATATATATATATATATATATATATATATATATATATATACATATATATATATATATACATATACAGTGAGGGAAAAAAGTATTTGATCCCCTGATTTTGTACGTTTGCCCAATGACAAAGAAATGATCAGTCTATAATTTTAATGGTAGGTTTATTTGAACAGTGAGAGACAGAATAACAACCAAAAAATCCAGAAAAACGCATGTCAAAAATGTTATAAATTGATTTGCATTTTAATGAGGGAAATAAGTATTTGACCCCTCTGCAAAACATGACTTAGTACTTGGTGGCAAAACCCTTGTTAGCAATCACAGAGGTCAGACGTTTCTTGTAGTTGGCCACCAGGTTTGCACACATCTCAGGAGGGATTTTGTTCCACTCCTCTTTGCAGATCTTCTCCAAGTCATTAAGGTTTCGAGGCTGACGTTTGGCAACTCGAACATTCAGCTCCCTCCACAGAATTTCTATGGGATTAAGGTCTGGAGACTGGCTAGGCCACTCCAGGACCTTAATGTGCTTCTTCTTGAGCCACTCCTTTGTTGCCTTGGCCGTGTGTTTTGGGTCATTGTCATGCTGGAATACCCATCCACGACCCATTTTCAATGCCCTGGCTGAGGGAAGGAGGTTCTCACCCAAGATTTGACAGTACATGGCCCCGTCCATCGTCCCTTTGATGCGATGAAGTTGTCCTGTCCCCTTAGCAGAAAAACACCCCCAAAGCATAATGTTTCCACCTCCATGTTTGACGGTGGGGATGGTGTTCTTGGGGTCATAGGCAGCATTCCTTCTCCTCCAAACACGGCGAGTTGAGTTGATGCCAAAGAGCTCCATTTTGGTCTCATCTGACTACAACACTTTCACCCAGTTCTCCTCTGAATCATTCAGATGTTCATTGGCAAACTTCAGACGGCCCTGTATATGTGCTTTCTTGAGCAGGGGGACCTTGCGGGCGCTGCAGGATTTCAGTCCTTCACGGCATAGTGTGTTACCAATTGTTTTCTTGGTGACTATGGTCCCAGCTGCCTTGATCATTGACAAGATCCTCCCGTGTAGTTCTGGGCTGATTCCTCACCGTTCTCATGATCATTGCAACTCCACGAGGTGAGATCTTGCATGGAGCCCCAGGCTGAGGGAGATTGACAGTTCTTTTGTGTTTCTTCCATTTGCGAATAATCGCAACAACTGTTGTCACCTTCTCACCAAGCTGCTTGGCGATGGTCTTGTAGCCCATTCCAGCCTTGTGTAGGTCTACAATCTTGTCCCTGACATCCTTGGAGAGCTCTTTGGTCTTGGCCATGGTGGAGAGTTTGGAATCTGATTGATTGATTGCTTCTGTGGACAGGTGTCTTTTATACAGGTAACAAGCTGAGATTAGGAGCACTCCCTTTAAGAGTGTGCTCCTAATCTCAGCTTGTTACATGTATAAAAGACACCTGGGAGCCAGAAATCTTTCTGATTGAGAGGGGGTCAAATACTAATTTCCCTCATTAAAATGCAAATCTATAACATTTTTTACATGTGTTTTTCAGGATTTTTTTGTTGTTATTCTGTCTCTCACTGTTCAAATAAAACTACCATTAAAATTATAGACTGATCATTTCTTTGTCAGTGGGCAAACGTACAGGGGATCAAATACTTTTTTCCCTCACTGTATATATATATATATTTTTCATTATTTGAGTCCCAAATGCCCATAGGGCTTTGGTCAAAAGTAGTGCACTATATAGGGAATAGGGTGCCATTTCGAGAAACAGCCCTGAAGGGATTCCATAAAACCCTTTCCCATGTGCTGAGCTCTGTGCTATCTACCTCCCTCTCCAGGCTGCGGAGAGCGCTGAGGTGCTGAGTGAGGCCCTGCTAGAGGAGCTGCTGGCTGATGCAGCGCAGGCCGCCTGGGCGGCGGAGACAGACAGACGGACGGAGGGTTTGGCCCAGCGCCAGCTCCAGACCCCCACCCTGGAGAGCATGCTGCTGCGCATGGAGGAGATGGAGGTGAGCCCTGAGCACGGCCCTATGGAAAGGCCACCAAACAAAGGTCACAGGGAGTTTGAAAGGGCACCGCTGGTTAGTTTGTCATGCAAGGCCTGTGTGATATTTGACAGCCTTGGTCAAGCTGTGCTGTGGAGATACAGTGAATGCACTGTCCAGTCCCGTCTGGATTCCTTATAAGGCTTTGTATTATTGTTTGGCTGAAAAATTAATAAAAATAATATACTTATTTTATCATCTATGTGTTTGAGCAGAAAGACCAGGAAGCTGTGAGGAGGCGCTTTGCTACCATCACATACTCAGACCCTCACTACTGGGACAGAGGGGACACAACTGGTGAGTAAACAGACCAAGTAACTCCTCCGCACATTTTTGCATTGTTGTTCATCTGGTGCACTGCAGGTGGAGGTATTGTGTTAGTGCTGTTTTAGCCAGTTGAGAGCAAGGCTATCCCTCATTCTAACTCATTTTCCACCCCTCTTTCTCTCATCCCCCTCTCCCCCATCTGTCTCTCAGGGCCCCAGAGGTCTGCTCCAGGCTCCAGGCCAGTCTCTCCTCAGCCCATTAGGATCACCAGGCCAGCACTGAGACACACCACCACGGCTGACATTGTCCTGGAGAGCCCTGTGGAGACCGGGTGAGTTGACATGTGCGCTTCTGTTTTCTCCCTTTCCCAGGGGATTTCTGGTGTTGCCAAAGCGCTCTTTTCTGTGAATAGTCCTATGCACAGAATTCAATAGAACATTGTGTATTATTACAGTATCTGTATGTTAATATGTTTGTTTTGTAGTAATCACCATGCAATACTGCAGCCACCATCTTAGAGAAGCTTCAAGCCCTATCTTAGTTTAATGGGTTAATGTATGGACAGAAGGTTTGAGAAACAGATAGATAGATATTAATAAGGAATATATTACATTATATACTGGGTGGTTCGAGCCCTGAATGCTGATTGGCTGACAGCCGTGGTATATCAGACCGTATACAATGGGTATGACAAAACATTTATTTTTACTGCTCTAATTACGTTGGTAACCAGTTTATAATAGCAATAAGGCACCTCTGGGATTTGTGGTATGTGGCCAATATACCACGGCTACAGTCTGTATCCAGGCACTCCGCGTTGCGTCATGCATAAGAACATCCCTTAGCCGTGGTATATTGGCCATATACCACACCCCCTCGGGCCTTATTGTTTAATTATACATTTACTGTTCGAAGATTGGAATGCCATACCCCACCGTTTGTTGATGTTGCCGATTGTAGTTAATGGTTATGAGATGCTATACCGGGTGATGGGACTTCTGGAGTCTCTACTAAATGTGAATTCATATCAGGCAGGAACTCATTAAGGACAATATAACGAGACAAAACTGATGCAGAACATTGATCCCATAAATTTAAGACTGTGAGAAAGTGCCCAACAAAACCACAGTCCCAAAAATGGTCAATTACTTTATTTTCCAGTTGGTGTCCACTCTAGACGATCAACAAAACTGATGGAGGTGGAACGTTGTTTATGCCTTTCCCAGAATGCACTGCTTTGTTGTGCCTCAATTCTGGCTGTTCTTCTCCACCCCTAATCTCACCTGGCTGTAATGAGGCCAAACCTAACCCCCTTCAAACCCCAAAGCCCCCTCTCTCTCACTCCCCTCACCCCCTGCCCACCCACCGTCTGGCAAGACATAGAGGGAGTGCATCCGTTTGCCTATGCCTCCGTCCCCTGCCCTATGCCTCCGTCCCCTGCCCTATGCCTCCGTCCCCTGCCCTATGCCTCCGTCCCCTGCCTATGCCTCCGTCCTGCCCTATGCCTCCGTCCCCTCCCTATGGCCTCCGTCCCCTGCCCTATGCCTCCGTCCCCTGCCCTATGCCTCCGTCCCCTGCCCTATACCTCCGTCCCCTGCCCTATGCCTCCGTCCCCTGCCCTATGCCTCCGTCCCCTGTCCTATGCCTCCGTCCCCTGCCCTATGCCTCCGTCCCCTGCCCTATACCTCCGTCCCCTGCCCTATGCCTCCGTCCCCTGCCTATGCCTCCGTCCCCTGCCCTATGTCTCCATCCCCTGCCCTATCCTGCCTATGCTCCGTCCCCTGCCCTATGCCTCCGTCCCCTGCCCTATGCCTCCGTCCCCTGCCCTATGCCTCCGTCCCCTGCCCTATGCCTCCGTCCCCTGCCCTATGCCTCCGTCCCATGCCCTATACCTCCGTCCCCTGCCCTATGTCTCCATCCCCTGCCCTATGTCTCCGTCCCCTGCCCTATACCTCCGTCCCCTGCCCTATGCCTCCGTCCCCTGCCCTATGCCTCCGTCCCCTGCCCTATGCCTCCGTCCCCTGCCCTATGCCTCCGTCCCCTGCCCTATGCCTCCGTCCCCTGCCCTATGTCTCCATCCCCTGCCCTATGCCTCCGTCCCCTGCCCTATGCCTCCGTCCCCTGCCCAGAGCTTTAGCTGTAGCGGCCTTTGCTTAAATTAATTAGGAAAGTGAAGGAAGAAGAAGGAGGGAAGAGTGAGAGAAATGGGAGCCAAAGGCTGACAGGGGAAGTAAGTTGTTGAGCGTGGAGTGGAGCGGACATGCCAGCATGATGCAGTCAAACAGATTCAAGCAGCAGCACCATTAGCACGTTAAAGGCAGTCAATAGTTCACTCTTCCTGGCCCAACTGGACCTTTTGGAGGGGCTCAGACCAACCCTTCTGTGACTCATCTCTCGCTCAGTCTGTCTGCTTTTACCCATCCATCTGTGACCTTCTATTTCTGTCTCTAAAGACCACCAGAAACTAAAACCACCAGAAACTCTTTGTTGTCTGTTTTGTGAGTTGGGGTGAAGATGTGGTAAACCCAAATTCCATTCATAGCGCAGGTTATGACTTTGCCTAGTTATTTAATATGGTTTATGGATAAAACAACACTAGCAGAACTAACTGAGCTTGGCTTTCTTGATCCTGTATTGGTAGTGATTGGCCAGATAGCTTTACCTCTACCCCTGTGTTGTAGCTAATAGCTACCTATAGCCACCTGCCTCTATGAAGATAGCATTAGACTCAGTCTGCCTCTGTGTCTTCCTCCCTATCACGGCCCAGTGAATTACACAGTCCAATGGGACTTCTCACCCCTGCCTGAGTGGCAGGTCATTTCATTGGTGTGTTAAAAAAGGAAAATGGCCTGAGCCTCTGACAGTATTCCGATAAAAAGACTAGCAGAATGCGTCATGATAATTCTCTCCCTTGTACTTCCCTTGCTTTGCCCCCAATAGCTGTATGAAGGAGATAATGCGGAACTGTCTGACCGAATATCAAGCCAGGTATTTGTTTGTATCGACGAGTGCACTTGTGTGAAAGCACAACACAACGATTGAGTGTTGTCTCTGAGAATGCTGGGCAAGTTTTCAGCGCATTCTGTCTCATTTGCAAAGCAATAGGGATTGATTCTAAATTACACATTGATTGTGTCTCATCCCCCACATACAGTCAGTGACAGAGCATATTCGGAAGTTCTTCCCTCCACTCTTTCTATTATCCTTGAGTACGTGGAGAAAATTAGTCAACCAAACACTCAGATTAGTCAACCAAACACTCAGGACTGAAAATTATTGGTCTTGATGTGCCAACACGAGTGGCGCAGTGGTCTAAGGCACTGCATCGCAGTGCTAGCTGTGTCACTAGAGATGCCTGGTTCGAATCCAGGCTCTGTCGTAGCCGGCCGCGACCGGGAGACCCATGGGGCGGTGCACAATTGGCCCAGCGTTGTCCAGGGTAGGGGAGGGAATGGCCGGCAGGGATGTAGCTCAGTTGGTAGAGCATGGCGTTTGCAACGCCAGGGTTGTGGGTTCGATTCCCACGGGGGGTATAAATAATAATGTATGCACTAACTGTAAGTCGCTCTGGATAAGAGCGTCTGCTAAATGACTAAAATGTAATGTAAATGTAACACACAGGGAGTATTTTCCCCCTCCTTCCTTCCCAGTATGTTTCCCTGTAGGCCTGTGTACTGAGCGCTAGCTTCAAAGGGTTGACAGAGATACAGGTGCCAATAGAGAGTGATTCCATATAAAACCAGGACAAAGAAATACTGATTGTATAGATTGTTTACATATATTTGACATTTGTATCTAAAAGCATAATTGAGAAATAATTAATCAAAGTTGGCATATTTATGACATTTTGGCCTTACCCAGGCCTTCTTTAAAATAATAATAATAATATGCCATTTAGCAGACGCTTTTATCCAAAGCGACTTACAGTCATGTGTGCATAATTTTTTTTAACGTATGGGTGGTCCCGGGGATCGAACCCACTACCCTGGCGTTACAAGCGCCATGCTCTACCAATTGAGCTACAGAGGACCACTAATGCAGTGGTCACCAACCTTTTACTCGCAGCCAAAAAGCAAGCCAAAATCTACCGCTCAGATTTCCTTTTTAAACATGACTTACGTTTATTTTTACATGAACCTAATAAAAACTGTTGTGTAGGAATGAGGTTTGTGCAGTAGACCTGATACATTATCACAGCATATTGGCTGTATGCCTGGCCTGCCTATTGTTCTTAGACCATATTATATTTCAAAACTCAAGCTTTGATAACAAAATAGATCAGTTGGTGTAGCACTTGCAAGGCACAGCTGAGCATAAATTGAAATAACCTTTTTATTTTACTGGACTGACGTTACCTGCATCTCATGGTCATGGTGCTTTCAAGACAACTGGGAACTCTGGGAAAAAAACGAAGTCAAATCATGACATCAGTGTTCTTCTGGTCGTAAAGTCATAGCTCTAGAAAGATGCCCATGTTTCCGAGTTGGAATTCCGAGTTGGATGACCGTTCAAAAATACTTTTCCCAGTCGGATCTCGTTTTTTCCTCCAGAGTTTCCAGTTGTTTTAAACGCACTGAAGTCTGAGATTTCCGAGTTCCCAGTTGTTTTGAACACTGCATTAGTCCCTGCTCTCTTCTTCCTTTCCTCTGGTGAGACTGACCAGAGAGAGGGGACACCATCTTCCACCTGATGGCTAAACTCCAGTCGCACCGCATCTGCATCATGCACAAATTCATGTTGTTCCTATGACCAGAGAAAGTGAAATATTCCTTGATATTAAAATAGACACAACGAGCTGCTAATAATAATAAAAACGCAGGGCTATCAATATACCTGGCTACTCATTCATTGCAGCTGCAGCGCGAGTGGAAGTAGGGAGGAGAGCGTTTTATGTTTTGTAATAGTGCGGAATAAAAACGTACACATGAACTCGCTCATAAAAACAGAAGCTCTTTGCTCTATTCTTTGACAGTCTCTTTCTGGTCAGGGTTTTGAAAGTTATGAAATTTCATGTATGCTAGTATCACATTTACTGTGGCAGGGGTCGTGGAAGCTGTAGTGATTTGAGCTATCCAATTGGCCAGTGCAGTAGGCGCACTCGATTTAGCCACAGATCTCCCGGTCCCCCGAGTAGGCGGAGTTTGTCTTTTCAGACAAATGAAATGGTTCAACATGGGAACACTTTGTCTACCCGGTGCACAGGGCTTCTGAATCAAGTGCACCTAATAATAAAAAAGGAGTGCAAGCCTTAATCGTTGGCTTTTCTACAGAAATGTTTGGTGATTGACTAGGAATGCCTTGAAGATCGATCAGTCAATCGCGATCGACTGGTTGGTAACCACTGCCATAATGTTTAATCTGTAGGTGCTTAGAGCAAAAGTTGGTGTCATATGAAGGTTTACTGCTTG